ATTATCATGATTGGATGCACAATACATAAGCAAAATTTGAATTTCAAATTCAAATTCGGATTGTGTGTCATGCATCAAATGGTAAAAGTAAATTCGGATTGTGTGTCATGCATCAAATGGTAAAAGTGTATAAAATGTCAGTGTATAGAAGATTAATTCTTGATTTAGAATGTTGAGAGGGGACTTTAATTCTTGATTTAGAATGTTGAGAGGGGACTTATCATTGTGTGCCAGATGCTATTGGACGTCTTAGTACAGGTGTTGTAGTATTAATTCTACTTTGCAAGTGCATTAGTTAATTATTGGTGGTGCTCTCCATCTCCATGAAAAGCAAAAAAAGAAAGGTTCCCGAATATATTTATTACCATTAGACTGCAATTTAAATTCCAGTTTGGATATATAGTTTCTTTAAACTCAAAATTCGGACGACAGAAACTGAAAAGACAGAAAGGTACCCCGACCACTTTTGGGATGGAACAGTCTTGCAAATAATTTATGTGAAAAATCCTGGACCATCTAAACTTCCATAGAATCTTATCTACCTCCCACTCACGGAGATAAATCAAGAGTAACGATTTTAGTCTCTTTTTTTTTTTCATTTTGAAAAGAAAAAGAGGGAAGTGTTAATGGCATTTCCATTTTAATTATTTACATCCTAACTATGCCATCTTTTATATCGAGGGACTAAAATGCCCTCGTCTTATTTTTTTGGTCTCATGTTCATAGACTGACTTCATCATATTCACTCTTACATTCCAACTCTGATTAGGCATTCATTTACATGTATAAATGGTCAATTTAAAGTTGATTAGTAATGTGTTTTGTACCTTTTTTTGTTCAAAAACTTCAATTAAACAATGAATAAGAGTTAACAAAATCACAAAATGCTAAAAGCTAATTTTTAGTAATGTAAGTAACATTTATTGAGTCAAAACTTAAATATAATGCTTTTAAGCATGGCCACTAAATTTTTGCTCTTTCAATATTTGTCTTTTTAATGAGTTTTGTACTAGACGGCAAAAAAAAAATAATCAAAAAGAACAACAGTAGATATTTGAATAACTCCAATAATAACAACCCGATATACAACTCACTGGAAACTCAGAAGTGTGGGCGCCTAAAAAATATTCATATTACATATCTTCATTAGTAAGTTCTAAGGAATTCAAGTGTTAATATAAAATAAAATTTTTACAATATCGTTGAACCTTTTTTTTTCAATATTGTTGAACTTAATCAAGTGGCATATCTTATTTAATTCATCAATAGCTTCTTCTGGAATATTGTCTTCCATGGTTAATCCTAAAAAATGCCTAAAATTTGTAGAAAAGAAGATGAGGTGGATGTGTTTGAGGTAACTATAATCACCACCTCAATTTGTCAATAACAACGTTTTGACAAGATTAATCTATGGGTTTGAGAAACAAAAATAAGGTAGGGGTATTACAGTCTCTTAATAAGAAAGATAAGGTAGCAGGCGTATGAATAACCAAAAGAGGAGTGTCGTTAATATTCTAAAAAAGAAAATTTTGTATTATGTACATGGTTTCTAATACATTCTTATTTATATTTTTTAACCGACTTTGAGGGAAAAAATATATATAATTTTGAAAGAAATCTTATAAATAATCTCTTATCCAAACATGGGCTGGCGGCGGAGGAGGGTGCTCAACTTTCGGACCAGGGTAGGTTACGTGCATTTTGCTCCCGGCGGTGTAATTTACTTTCAAAGGCGTGTAATTTTAGAACAAAATTTTATGAGTTTTACACATATTGTTAAAAATGAGGTACAATATGAAATCTGAACCGTATAATTTTTTTTGACCAAACCTTGGCCGTAAACTGTTCAGGAACGATCCACCTGATGACCGTCCCTGCCCCAAATCCTCAACTTTCATACTCAAATTAAAATTCTACGAAGTGGCAGCAGTTAATGAACCTAAAAAAGGGAGTCTGGTCGGCCCAGTCTTTGCCAAATGGAGCATAAAATGGTAGTAAATGTTAAACAAATGATAATCACGAACATGGTTCAATTCTATTCCTTGTTAAAAAAGCTTTTTCTTTTTTGTTTCCTGTAAGATCAGGAACCACACAAGAAGGCTGTTTGTCAAATGAATGCGGTCCAGGGAGGGAGGCACATTGATTCAAGCGACTGATGTTGCCACAGAAAAGTAGCCCCACAGTTCAAGAGTATTTCACTTTATTTACGTCTTATTTATTCATATTGATTTGATTGCATCATTATCATATTTTTTTAATTATCTTTTTATAAAAATATTTTAAATAATCTACAATCCAAAATTCCAAACACACTCAATATTGCTACACATTAATCAACCAAATTTCTTTTCCTCATTTCGGCCTCCCATCCCATCATTTGAATTAGATTTGGGTTCTGGGATGGATGATGTGATTGAAATAACAAATACCTACGGCCACATGATGACTTCTTTTGGCCTACTCGACTGCTTTTCATAAAGCTTTTTCCCTTCCTCGAGATAAAATGTCTGTCATCAGACCTTGGCCTACCACTTGTATGATTGTATCTGCAAAGGGTTTCTCGAATCTGGCTTTTTTAAACTAGTCTTCATGCTTCAGGAAAAAGGAAGAAAAATGAACTATTGGTCACAAAATTTGAATAAAGATACATGCTTTATTTGAACAAGCATACTTGCCGCCAAGGGATAAAAGAGTTGTAGATAGCCAAAGGGATGGGGTAGATGGAACTTCTTACACCATTGAGAAACTCTACTCTATAAGTTCATATAGTTGGTTGTCGTTTACTAATCAAGTAACTCCAACTTGAGTGCTAGATAAGATAAGAGAGATGCGCAGGGTATACGAGTTGATTTTGGATACGAGATGAGATATACTCAAACTCTTACCATTAATGCTAAGCAGGGGTGGGGTGTTCAAATTTCGTTAGAAACTACAGCCGATTCAATTTAGATGGGATGTTGGGTATTAACAAAATTAACTTATGTCTCATCTTCAATGTTTGATAAAATGGTTTAAGGATAGATACTGGGATTCGGTTTTTAAATTTCTGATATTAGGACGAATTACCGTATTTTATTTCTTAATAACAAATTATATAAATTATGTTCCCACTACTGTCTTATATTATATACTAATCTATTAATAAATAGCGTTATGAGTTATAACTTACCATGTATGTTTATTTTTGAGCTTGAACTTGAGGAAAACGGATATTTTTGGTTTACTTGTAAAACTTTGGATATACCACTAAAACTCAATTACACTTATCCAATTTACTAAATTAAAGTATGGAGAGTGATCGTATGTCAGTCTTATACCCAAAAAGAAATTAAAAATTTTAATTGAGTTACCGATTACCAGAGCTAATGAATAACCCCAAAATTGCTAAGAGACATCTCGTGCAATGGAAAATTTAGAGGAGATTGAATTAACATGGGGCAAAAAAAAGGGATTCGATTCTTTGACCTACACGAAGGAGTAGTTGTTTTTTTCGGCATATTAGTCAGTAGATGCCGTTTCGTAACAATTGACAGATGTACTTTGATCCTAAACGGGAAGGACTTGATACTGGAAATGAAGAATCCGTAAGATCCAGTTTAAGACCTTTGTTTCTCGTTTTAAAACCGATCTTTGATTTTCAGTCATCATTATTTTCTTCACGCTTCATTCTCCTCCTTCTAGAAGACAGAAAATGACTTGACAAACGTTTGTGGAATGCATGAAGTAACCTCGCAAGAGTCTCGTATAGATGCAATTGACAAATTGGGAGGATTTAACAAGAAGTGTTTACAATTTGGAGGTTAACCTAAAACTTCCAGACTACAAATTTCTTCAAACATCAGAATTCGCAACCTGACAAAGTTTGGGATGGCATTTAAGTATTTATTTGTTATAATACAAGATTAAATTAGCCGTAACAAGTGATTAAAGGTACATGGTTCGAATCTTGTAACCCAACCGTGGGGTGAGGAGACATGGGACTCGCGAGGGTTAAAAAGGAAAAAAATTCCTAAGCCCTTCTGTTCAAGGAGTCTATGACTCTGGCCATATGTGCTATGTTCTATGTGCTTTGTGGGAGTGTGATTCACGAAGTAATGAAATTAAGTTGACTTTTTTTTTTTTTGTCGAAACGATAGATGTCCTATAACCTAATCTAGCCTAGTCTAAGGGGAAGGAGAGGGGGTTCGATGTGAGTACAGACTCCATCGATGAAGGTCAATTAAGACCGCCACAAATTGTGGCAAATTTGTGGGAGGCAGGGATTGAACCCCTGACCTCCAGCATCACCTTTAATGGTGATGACCACTGGACCATATGGCCAGTGGCGAAATTAAGTTGACTTAAGCTCCAGAAAATGTTGCGACAGTGCTGAAATTGTGGAAGATAATTGACCGATTGAAAGAGAGAGAAACACTCTCTACTTGGGCATACCACTAATATATTATTATTGCTATTGTGCTTGCTTAATTGGAAACACGACCATTGACCACCACTTCCAGACTTTTCCTTTCTTCCCTAGACCTCATCGATGACAATCACAAATGTACTACTAGTAAGCACTAAATTGGCACAGCAATCCTCGTAAATTCACATGCACACGGTACATCATGTAAAATTCATCACAGTTTTGTGTAATCCATGTAACATGGTAACAAAAAGGAAAAAAAAAAAGAAAAGAAGAAAAAGATAGGAAAGATTTGGGCTCTAGGGAAATTGTAAATGTTAGGCTCGAATATATTGGATTACACGTGGTTATCAGTTGATCCATCCATGTTAGTTGATTAAGATGATGGCACTCCAGATTTCACTACTGTAACTTTCAAGAAACGGACATGTATAAATAATTTTAGAAGTATATCTTGTTAGGGGTGCATACTTCCACGACTCCAAACTACATTGCATGGCAACTTTGCAGTTGACAAGGAGAAAAAGGGCGCTAGTGATGAGTGAAGTGTGCCCGCACTTTGGGAGTGGGAAAGTAGTAGTGAAGTAGAAGCAGCAGGCCATAATAGATTTTCGCAAATTTCACAGGACTAACACTTATTACTCAGGGCTTTGCTTTCATTCATTCATTCACCTGCCTGCCTTGTCATAAATGTAAAAGAAGATTAAACCAACCAACTTCATTCTTCATACAACTGCTCCATTACTTCTTCCGCTTTCTGTCATATTCACTCGTCTCTAGAGCGTGGCAGTACTTATATCGTTATCTCAACTTTAGCTTTCTATCAAATCTCAGCTTTCTTTTTCTCTCTGAAAAACTGGTTCCCTTAATTTAAGGATTCTGCAGGAGTGGGGTGAGGACAAGTACAGAAGTTAATTATCAGCTTGGGATGATGAATAACACTGAGGAACATAGGAGTACTAGTATTAAAAGCGAGGTGCAGGATGGATTCAGTAATAGTACTACTGCATGTGAAAGAGAAGTTGTCATTCCGATGCCTAAGGTACAACTAAGATCTGTTGATGTTTTCTACTTTAGCGTTTCTCTGTACACATCTACTTTGTCCTTAGCTGGTTCTTGATTAATCTTTCTTTCTAAACTTAAATTTCAATTCTGGGATTAAATAAAATCCAGATGAAATGAAGTCTTTTGAACTTAAGACAAGTATTTCGAACCCAACTTTTAAGAGTTCTATTGGGGCGGACACTGAACATAGAACCCTTTTTAATTCTCCTCTCTTTCTTGATGAAGAGAGGGAAGATAAGAGAATTGTGGATCACGGAAGTTGGATAAGTTTGGATACTGGTACTACCTTCATGTAGGAGGTGGATTACCTTTCTTTGTTTGTAGTTTCTTATTACAAGCAGTTTATTGTTCCAAGATTGCGCATAACTTTGATTGCATGGCCAATTTGTTTAATACTTCTTCCTGTAACCAAAACTCCATTGTAAATGGCTGAATGGATTGTAAAACATCAGTTCCACCCATGATACTTATTTTTAGCCAATTCTGCTGCACTTCAAATCCCAATTTGCTGGGATGGCGGCTTTATCATAGGTGTAGCATTGGAGCTTCTATTACCCAAATTAACTTCTGACCTTAATCTGCTACTGATTGATAGGATATATGAAATCAGACTGGTAGTTTGTAAGATAAATTTCAATTGAATTTTTTTAAATTTAGTATACCTATAGTTCATTTAGTATTTGAGTAATTCTGCCAGTTTATCCAAATGCTTGTGAAGTTATCACTTACTGAATGCAGTGATGATAACTAGTAGTATGCTTTAGAGGTTGTCTTGCACGTTTATAGATGAGCGGTTCAACAAAATCCTCCTTTCAGGTAGAAAGTTCCAGTGGAATAACTGAAGAAACTGGGAATGCTAAAAACTGGAGGAAACAAAATCTATTCTTGGAGATACCTACCAGAACAATGGATGCCTCATGTGCAGAGTTTGTTCAAATAAAAATGCCTCCAACGCCAACTCCTACGCCCAAAAGAGTGAATTTCATGTTGACCCCTAGCCCTTCTGATTCAAGACTAAATAGTTCTCCGGGTCCTTCTTCATCCAGAGCAAAATCATCCATCAAAAATCTCCTGCCAAAACTAAGTTTCAAGAACCGGAACTTGAATCCAGAGACAGATATAGACAAGGCTTCTAACCTTGATTCAGGTTCTTCAACCACAGCATCACAGGAGAAGCCATCGATGTCAAGGTCTTGGTCTCTCTCAAAGATATTTACTCCTCGCATGAAGAGGACTTCGTCTTTACCTGTTACCCCAGTTGCACATTTAAGTTCTGAGTCTATTACTGATGGGAGTGCATGCAGCTCTCTGACATTGGATGTAAGTCCTTTAGAAACTCTTATTCTGTTCCCCATAAATAAGTTGATTAGCTCATATTTCAATATCATTAGTCATTAACCAGATTTTAAGGGCAGGCTTTATTGGATGATGCAGTCAATTTTGCATTCTTGTTATTCTGTCTTGTAATAAACTATGGCATGCATGCTAGTAATTAGAATATGTAACTCAGCACCCTTGCAACATATGAATTTCAATCCTGAATAAGATGATGTAGCATGTAGGCAAGAAATAATATATATTCAAAAGCCTACCATCTCATCTTCACTGAGATAAATTCGAAAAAACATTGTATCAACTTCATGCAGCCAATTTCCAAACACAACCCTAGGCTGATAGCTTTATGCACACTCTAATGTCAATGCATCGATGATTGTAGACAAAAGGACCACAAAGGCACATCTCTCGATCACTTTCTGTTCCAGCTATCAACAAAGAAAGAAGCATCAAAAGGATGGACTCATTTTTCAGGGTAATTCCTACTACTCCTCGAGTGAAGGATGGGGATTCAATAACATCAGTGTCAACTGCAGGAGGAAATACTGGTAATTTGCTCTTTTGCCGCATGATGTGTCAATTAGGAGCTTCTCGAGTTATACATCAATGGAAATATGTTAAACAACTTTGGAGCAATGAAGGTGTAACCCACACTCAAAACTCTAAATTAAAAGTTTATGCCTAAGGTTCCACTGAATTTGTACATCGTACTGGGTTATCTAATATATGGCAGAACTTCTATAAGTGATTGCAAAAAGAATTGAAATATACATGGCACTATATGGCAGCATTGCATTTTCTTTACAAATCATATGGCAGCTGTAAATTATATGGCTCTTCCAAATTTAGTGCCAGAAATATTTTAAAGGCCGCTATGGTTACTTGGAGCTGTTGAAGCTAAGGATGAAGAAGTTGCTGGACTTAAAAAAGTGTCAATACATTTTAGCTACCTTTTTACTCTTACTTTTGGTTTCTTATGTTATCATTGCCTCCATAGTTGGAATTATATGTCATTTACAGTATTATATGGCGCTTCCAAATTTAGTGCCAGAAATATTCTAAAGGTCATTACAGTTCCTTGGTGCTGTTGAATTTCAGATGAAGAAGTTGCTGGACTTAGACCGCCATTACATTTTAGCCATTTTAGCTACTTTTTTACTCTTTCTTTTGGTTTCTTATATTATTATTACCTCCATAGTTGGAATTATATGTCATTTACAGTTTTTATTTTCTGGGAATAATTTAAGCCTTGTTTTGCAGAGAATAGTGATGCTGATGGTGAAGACATTCCCGAGGAAGAAGCTGTTTGTCGAATCTGCTTCATTGAGTTATGTGAAGGTGGAGAGACACTCAAGATGGAATGTAGTTGCAAAGGAGAACTTGCTTTGGCTCACCAAGAATGTGCTATAAAATGGTTTAGCATCAAAGGAAACAAGACATGTGATGTTTGCAAACAAGAGGTTCAAAATCTACCAGTCACACTTTTGAGGATCCAAAGTGTTCGATGTCAAAATACTAGAGCAAGTAGAGTCCGGAATCTGGAAATAAATGGATACAGGCAAGTTATTTATCTTGGGATGTTAATTTTCTCGAAAGCTGAAACAAAGTTATCATGCACAACCTCTTCTTAGAATTTCTAGGGCCATTATGTGAACATTTCCTTGTACACAGTAACCTTCCGTTGTTATTTGCATTCTCCTGATGCTTTGATCCCTTTCCTAGTAAACCACTTCCTCCAATCTCACAGCATAATCATGTGTATCGAATATTGAGATGACTGGAATCAAAGGAACCTTACCATCTTAGTGATTTGATTTTTGCTCTAATACCGTTGTACTTTTGATGTAAACTGAAAACGTGATTGTCTAATAGAGATTTTACCATGTGGCTGTCATTTGTTGCTTCCCTTTTTATGAGTAGATACATACCTGGTAAATAACACACTTGAGTCCTAATGAAAAGGAAGGAGATAGGGAGCTGTTCTGTGTCCTTCATAAAAACTCTCCTCTTTACCTTTTCTTTCAAAAGACGTGATTTTTCAGTTATTTTCATCTTTTTGTGTATCAGGGCTTAGTTTCAAAATAAAATTGACACTATCTTGAACATTATCGAGTTGCATGCAGAATCTTTAATGGAACCTCCTTTACCAACTTGAGATATCAATATATCGTGATTCTTGGGTTTAACAAGTAATTAAGGTCAATTCACTCCTTCCAGGTAAAACTACACAATGTCTTGAAGAATAAGTTCCAGAGCCAGAAATGACTGCTATCCAGTGTTAGAACTAAACTTTGTCTGGCCTATGGGAATAATAAAGCAGATGCCATAGTTCATAAGCAGAAAAACATATATCTTCTGCTTTGGATTACAAATCCCTGACCTACTGAATTGTGACCTTTACTTAAGGCTGTAATTTCTTCACTTCATTCAATGCCAATGAGCATCTGTTTTTTTTTTTTTATAATTGTATCATTGAAAATAGAATCTGACCAGGCAGTAAGACTCCAAATTCAACCATTTGAGTTATGCCATTTATAGTCTTATACTTTGCTGTATCAATGCAGGGTTTGGCATGAAGTGCCCATTCTTGTCATTGTCAGCATGCTTGCCTACTTTTGTTTCCTTGAGCAGCTTCTGGTAAGATTATCTGATTTAGCTGTTTGTAGATCTATTAGCCATTATATGGTTAACATTTTTCTCATGTGCCAGGTTGGGAAAATGGGTACTGGAGCAATTGCTATATCACTTCCATTTTCTTGTGTACTTGGTCTCTTGGCATCCATGACCTCTTCAACTATGGGTATGTTATTCTTGATGATGCAATGAGAAACTTTCGATGTCTGATTCTCTTGTTTAAGAAGATGTGAGATTCATGGGTTGAATTTGAAATGCTGGTTGAAACTTCTACGATAATGTTCTTTAGTTTCTGACATCAACTCTTTCTATTTTTGTAGTGAAGAGAAGATTTGTGTGGGTTTATGCATCGGTTCAGTTTGCTCTCGTGGTTCTCTTTGCACATATTTTCTACTCTGTGGTACGAATGAACCCTATTCATGTCTTTGACATACAATAATACCGTAAGAAAAAGAGTCTGGATTTTGTTAATGACATTACCTTTACATAGATTAGAGAATCTCATTTTATTTTTATTGGTTAAAGGAGGATGTATAGTGTCTCTGCCTCCATTTGTAGTGGATAATTTTGTTCTGTATTCTTTTCTTTTCATCACCTTCTAAGTCCTGCTTTTATTTTGTTTCAACTGAAGTTGATTTTAACAGAAAAAGAGGAGCATGCTTTATCTTTCATCAGGTGAACTTTGGATATGATGTTCAGGTCTCTAATCTGCGTTTTCTGGAATCTGCAGGTTCATGTACAAGCTGTTTTGTCAATTCTTCTCTCCACATTTGCAGGATTTGGAGTTGCAATGAGTGGAAGTTCAATTGTTGTTGAGTTTCTGAGATGGAGAAGGCAACAACAAGCCTTTGCAGATCAGCAACATCAGAATTCCCAAGTCATGTTACATCCTGGTCGATGGCCTCAACCGAGTCAATCAGAAACAATTTCCCGTGTTGCTCCAAACCTTCGTCAAGCCGACATAGAAAATCCAGAAACATTTAGTGGGAGGTGATTAGTAGTTCTTTTTTTTTTGGGGGGGTAGTAGTGGATAAACTCAATCCTTGCGAAAGGGATTTTGTATAAATACACAGATGAAGCAATTGACAGTTCTGTGCCATTGGTATTTTGCTTCATCAAAGAAACAGGAGTTGCAGGAATGATGAATGTTGTGATCTGCACAACAGAGCAACGTGCTTCGTACAGATACAGTAATCAAAGAAAGTTTGTTCTTTTTTCTTCGTCTTCCATAAGAGGTTTCTGATTCTCTACATTACTGGTACTGCAAACCTGTGATCATTGAGCAGTGATCAACCGGTGAGAACAGGAATCTTCCAGAACAAACGCGATACTTGCCAAAACTGATCCAAAACAGAAAGTTACAGGGAAAGCTTTCTCCATATTAGCAGCCACAGGCATCAGCCTCTTTTTTTTTTTGAGTCAATTTAGATGTCAATTCCTATCCTTCTCCTACTTCTACTCTAACATATTTAAGGAAGAACCTAACTGGACCAAGGAAGGCTAGCAAGATTAAGTCCCAATTCTAGACCAAGTGTATTACTGAACACCCTTGTGAATTTTAGGTGAGTCGGATTTTGGTTGGGAGTTAACATGTTAAAAAAAGTGCATTTTGCAATGGAAGATTACTTATATCTCAACTTTCCAATTGTGTAACAGTTATAATTTTGATCCTTTTGAGTCAAGTTTATGAATATCATACTTCAGATATCAATAGTATGGTATGGCACTATATGCCCTTGAACATCATATTCATAGTTGTCCTAAAAAATAAAAACTCTTTATCACAGCTAGAGTTCTTAAAGAAGACTGCATGCCAAGTAAATTGTAGCAATATTTTGGTGTCAATTAACAAGGGAAGTAACCGCAAGTTTTCTTGGATCTTCTTGTTCTGTAGCCATGTCCTCATTGGTGGCGTTCGGGAATGTACTATGCAGACAAAATTTGACTTTTGAGGGGCTTGATTTTGCACCTTTTAAAACTTACCGGGGCCAAATTGAAATTTACTTTGTCAAGTGTAAAATTGTAAATTAATCCAGACACAAAGGAGACTCTCTGGTCGGCACAAAAAGTCAAACACAGGGTTCAGCGGCCCACACGGCCTGCAGTTCATTCGAGCGGCGTCCATATTCCTTAATTCCCACAAAAAAGGAAGTGATTTTTTGGTACGTTATTCCATTATGAACTCAAGCAGAATAGTAATAATTACCCAAGCATTTCCTCCGCTCTTCAAGTCTCTCTTCCGTTCTTCATCCTCCTCCTTAGGTGCTTCTTCGTCCAACTGTCAATAATCGTCAGTCTCTCTCTCACTGTCCTTCCGTTCCCAGTGTATCTTTTTGCTCCAGTGAGTGGCACGTGTTTGTGAATATTCTTAACCGACCTTAGTGCGTTTTTCAGGGGTGCAAAAGATTGGTTTTTTGAAGATATTGCAGCAAAGAAAAAGGGGGTTTAGAGGGGTTGCAATTGTGAGGCTGATGATGGATTCTAGCTTGGAGAAGTGTGATGGGAATGTGGAGAGTAAGATGGGTTTAGTGCGCCCTGCTACAGAGGATTATGCTCAAGAAGCAGTTGAAGCTCTCAAAGCTGGAAAGGTCATTGCTGTGCCTACTGATACCCTCTATGGCTTTGCTTGTGATGCTTGGTATGGCAAATTCCCGCCCACTTCGAGCTTTCGTTTCACCCCTTTTATTCATGGAGTTAGTTTCCTTGTTCTTTGTTGTCTATAGAACAATGAGCCTTGGCAAATTTGAAGCTTTCGCAGGGCCTTAACTAGTGCGTATGGCAATATTTTATGTTTTATCTGTGTGCAAATGTTTGATTGAGGAATTTGAGCTGTAGAACTTTGTTGAAAAGTAAATGCTTATGAATATGTGCATCATCACGCAGGTGTATGATGCGTGCATGTGTATATAGCAAGTTACTTCTTGTTCCTGTTGAAATTCAGGAACTATGCTTTTCAAAGATGGAGTTTGATTAATGAAGAAGCAGTTAAAATGCTTCTTGCTGGATTAACTGAAGAATAGTGCCTTTTTAGCTTGCTGTATCAGAATTTAATGTATAGCTGCAAAATAGGAGCAATTGTGAATAAAATATTGTAATACTCTTTCTGGTTCTTTAGATTGCCATGGACAGGTTTTTGATAGTAAAATTTGAGGGACAACTTTATTTTCAGTACTTATGTTGCTCAGCTGTGGTTGTAGGACTTCTTGAGCAATATCTCATTGTTGCATATTCTATTGTTTATAAGACCCTATAAGCTCATGGTACATTTTATATCTTGGCTTTGAACAGCTCTGTGGAAGCAGTTAACAGGATTTATGAGATCAAAGGTCGTAAATATACTAGTCCGCTGGCAATTTGTGTTGGAAATGTTGAGGACATCAAACATTTTGCTGTCACGGATCATTTGCCTCCTGGTTTGCTGGATTGTCTCCTTCCAGGGCCGGTAACTGTGATACTGAGGCGAGGTTTGTAGCTCGATGCTTTGTTTCTTTAAGTGGGATCTTTTTGGGGAGGTTGTTGATTGTAATCCTATTCCAAGTGTGATAATTTGAAGCGGAGCTCATATATCATGTAAAGGAAGAAGTTTGAAAAATTACTTGTTCAAGCTTAGCTCTTTCTCCCATTATGGGAAGCTATCTTCTTTTGTTTTTTCTTGAACTGTTGGCTTTGAATTTTGAATAATGTATCTTCTGTGAAGCTTAACTTTTGCTATCTTACAGGGGATTCAAGCATCCTTGAGAAGTCTTTGAATCCTGGGTTGGAAAGCATTGGTGTTCGAGTCCCTGACTGTAATTTTATTAGGGTGATATGTAGCGGCTCTCAAAGTGCCCTGGCCCTTACTAGTGCCAACCTCAGTCGGCAGCCTAGTAGTGTAGACATCAGAGATTTTAAGAACCTCTGGGAACATTGTGCATACATTTATGATGGCGGTGCTCTTCCATCAGGGCGTGCAGGTTCAACAATTGTGGATCTTACTAAGCTAGGAACGTACAAGATTCTCAGACCTGGGAGGTAAGTTTTGAATGCTCTTTGGTACAAAAATCCTCTTAGTTGTGCATAATCTTGGTAAACTTCTTGTTTTGGCAGTGCCAAGGAAGAGACGATTGCAATCCTTGAGAGACACTCTCTGCTAGAAGATGGAAGTGCTACATAAAGTGGTTGTAGTCTTCTGATGAGATTATGTATTGGGAAGGACAATATTCACGTAGGACCGAAGGCCTGCAACTACACGGATAACACTGTAGCATAGTGATTATTATCTGGATTCATCTGTTGAGTAGCTATTTTTTTATTTTTAATAAATGTCCTGTGAAAATTATCAAGCTGACTGTTGCAGTTGTTTTGTTTTATGTATTGCAGTATCCGAGATCACTTGTAAACCCAAAATACTGTTATTGTCCTCGGACTCCATGCATTGCAGTACCAGAGAATTAGTCATTTTCTCCTTTCTTTCATTGTTCTCCTTTAATTCTTTCAGATCATGCTCATTGCATGGGGTTCTTGTATGAGTAAAACCATGTAACATGTTCATCTAAAGAGCAACCATGTTGTAATGAGTTGCACAGAAATGACATGGTGGTCATCGGATAATAGGAAAGTCTCAAAGGCAGTGTGCTAAGCGTGGCGATGCTATGCAATGCCAATGAGTACCTACATTTTTCATTTCTTTTCTTTAGTGAACAATAACACCTACGGCGTTTAGATATCAATTTCCCGATTGTGGGCTTTTCACGTTTGTGTCTTTGGACAGGTGAAGAGAAGAGAATCTCTTTTTTGTCCCACTAAATTCTGCAGGCAGCTAAACTTTTTTAAGCACCGTTTTATACACTCTTAAAAGATCATTCTATTTTACAATTTTTTTTTATTATAAGTGAGAGAGTTTGAATCGAAATTTTTTATTTATACTCTTTTCTCTCAAACCATCCAATCTATTCCTCTTCCCCTTCATTTTACAACTTGAGTTACCTTTGGCAAATGACACTATTGGAGTCGATTCACTATTCTTGGATGTGTTTCTTGGTTAATTATGAGAAACCAAAATTTAATAATTGGAAGAGTACTGTAAAATCATATTTTCTTGTATACTATGAATGTGAGTTGTTTGTTAAGGAAAAGGTGTTCCCTTAGTTTCTTAAATTTAGTAGTATTAGTTAGGCTTAAAATCCCCCGCACCCCACCCCACCCCAAAAAAAGGATAAATTATATTTTATCCCCCTATAATTTTGTATTTTTATATAATCCTCTTATGATTTTAAAAACTATACATAACCCTCTATTAAAGTATCAAAGCGATAGAATTTGCAATCCATAACAGATTCAACTAGAATGTTAAAAATACCTCTATGTAAAATTGAAAATTATTTATTAACCACAGGAGAGTTATGTATATATTTTGAAAATTATAAAGGAATTATATGGTAAAGTACAAAACCATAAAAAGGTTATTTGATAAAATATAAAATCATACTGGATTAGAGTGCTATGCATATTATATTTATATACTTTGATCACTTCACTTATCTTAGTTTTTAAATAAGGGTAATTTCGATATTTTTATATATTTCGTTACAAATGATCATTTCCGCCACTTTGACACTTTAATCCAAACTATGAATGTGTTATAGATAGTTTTTAAAGCTATAAAGGAGTTATGTGAAAAATAGTTATATCATAGGAGGTAAAGTGTATTTTGCCCAAAAATAAAAGGTTTCCCTTCCTACATATTAGTAAAAATATTCTGTCAGGGAAACCAAATTTAGCTGTTACACATGCTGAAATATGCATTAAAGTTTGGTATTTAGAAAATCATTTTCCCTTTAAGTACTTTCATTTAGAAGCTAACCAATCGTGTCCTCAACTGTACACCCGGACGCGTAAAGCCAAAGCCACGCAGAAATAATAGTATAAGGGGCCGAAGTGAAATAGTCCTCAAACTTCAAGGGCTTCAATGTAAATCTCAACCTCCCTATTACCTTTCACTTCAAAACCAAATCCGCCTCCATTATCGGGGCTTCCAGCATAAACCCACAAGAAAGAAGAACAGAAAAGAGGGGGAAAAAGAAGAGAAGGAAAGATGAAGATAGAGGAGGTACAATCCACCACAAAGAAGCAGAGAATTGCTACTCATACTCATATTAAAGGCCTTGGACTCGAGGTATCAACTGAATTTGGTGTTCATGGTTTTTTTTTTCCTTTTGTCTTTCCTGGGTTTTAGGGTTTAAGGTTCTTA